AACATTTGTTCGCGTACAGCTAGTTTTACTATTTACTTCATGTAATTTCATATTTTAAACAAAAACACATATAGTTAGGACAAATTACATAAAAACAATAGTACCATTTTATTTTTGTATACTGACTTAATTTGCTCAAATATCAGCTTGCCCTAGCGGTCTCGGTTGATATTCTTTCTGATAAAGTCTGTATCAAAAACAAAAAATAACCTTTATTATTTAAACGTCTGTCTGTCTCTTTTTAGACTCTACTTATACATTTTTGCTTAGCAACCCCTTTAATCCTGTTATATTCTATAAGAAATCTAATATAAAATTTGGAGAATTATTGTTTATGCCAAAATAAAAATACCTAATTTCCAAACGCTTTATATCAAACACAAGCACATAGAATTGTATGTTTTTATTCCATAATATTGATGTATTCACTTACATTGTACATGTTCTACTGAAAAAGACGTCATTTATGAATATATTGTTATAATAAGTGTAGCGGGAAACACTCAGCCTCGTACCGATCTTGTTTTTGTATTTGCTGGATTTTTCTCATTATCGTAGGTACTTACAACCACTTTATTTTAACTCTGGTGGATAGTTGTCTCATTGGCAATCATACCATATCTACTTATTTTTGAAAACACATGTAGAGAAGCACACACTGAATGTTGCATGTGTGTATTTGCCGATACCGTTGTTGCTGTATTCAGTGCATTTTTTTGTATTTGTCGATACCGTTGTTGCTGTATTCAGTGCATATTTTGTATTTGTCGATACTGTTGTTGATGTATGCATTGCATGTTTTTGTATCTGCCTAAACCGTTGTTGGTGTATTCAGTACATGTTTGTATTTGTCGATACCGTTGTTGATGTATTCAGTGCATGTTTGTATTTGACGATACCGTTGTTGCTGTATTCAGTGCATATTTTTGTATTTGCCGATACCGTTGTTGATGTATTGTGTGCATGTTTTTGTATCTGCCTAAACCGTTGTTGATGTATTCAGTACATGTTTGTATTTGTCGATACCGTTGTTGATGTATTAAGTGCATGTTTTTGTATTTGTCGATATCGTTGTTGATGTATTCAGTGCATGTTTGTATTTGTCGATATCGTTGTTGATGTATTCAGTGCATGTTTTTGTATTTGTCGATACCGTTGTTGATGTATTCAGTGCATGTTTTTTGTATTTGCTGATACCGTTGTTGCTGTATTCAGTGCATGTTTTTTTTGTATCTGCCTAAATCGTTGTTAATGTATTCAGTGCATGTTTTTGTAATTGCCGATACCGTTGTTTATGTATTCAGTGCATGTTTTTGTATTTGTCGATACCGTTGTTTATGTATTAAGTGCATGTTTTTGTATTTGTCGATACTGTTGTTGCTGTATTCAATGTATGTTTGTATTTACTGATAGCGTTGTTGCTGTATTCAAAACATGTTTGGATTAGTCGATACCGTTGTTGCTGTATTCGGTACTCCAGTTGTGAAACTTTAAGTGAAACCAATAATTTTCATAATAAATTTCCGAATAAAATACTCGCTCGGACTGTTTTGCAACAGATATTTGAACTTTTATTTATTAGATTCTTTTGTTAGTAATTTTAAAACTGTTGAACTGACTGAATACTTTATAGTTATAACCATCGTCAGCATCTTCGAGTAATAGCTGTCTCGTTTTATTTCATTTTTCCTCTTATAATTTCAACATGTATAATAATGATTGAAATCTGTTGGATATTTAACGAGCTACTTACTTCGAAATCGACATCTTCATATGCCAGTTTCAGCTTTATGACGTATTTGAATTGATTTTACGTCGAATGATACCACTTTTATCTCACTAGATCATTTCTGCCAAAGTTTTTGTTTAAATTTTACTTTCAGATTCAAAATAGTAATAATTACAGATTGATTTATTATTTTTCTCTTTTTTTCTGATTAAAGACACTTCATTTGTGTTATTCAGTGATGAATAATAATTAATCTTTAATGCAATAAAATACATTCATTTAAAATTTATTTCAAAATTAGGTTACATGGAAAAAGAGGGCATCGGAGATGGAGATTATTGTTTAATATTAAAACTAATAAAGAGGGAGGCTAGATGTCTTTTATTTGTAATGAAAATCGTCCTGTGAAATATTGGGTTACTTCTTTCAATGATGAATAATTATTAAGGTCAATCGTGAACAGTATTATAATTTTACAGAATACCTCCATCACAAATCATATTTACAAGAAAGAGCGAACCTATAAAAAGTTTACTACAGAAGGTAATATAATAATAATTAAAGAACGTTCAAATACCCCCCTACTGTTAAAATATTGCTAAACTCATCCTGGGCTTGAACCCCATAACTGAGTAAACTAAATAAACCAACAAAAAAAAAGAAATGGAGTTTATGTCTTATCAAATTCAAATTGTCACAACGATAAGTGAACACATTTTCCCTTCTGTATTTATTCCATTATGGCATAAAATTATATATAGCATATAAATCCAAAGGCTCAACGATTGGTTGATTGATTGATTGTTGGTTGCTTAACTCCAGTGGCAAATATGTCATGCATGTTCAGGACGAGAACAAGTTAACAATAAATACAATAGGTAGGTCCTGTAATAGAGGCCGTCCGGGATGAAGGTCGGAGAAATTTGGACTGCCACGGGAAAATTAGAGTATATTGGATAAGGACAGAAAATTAGCCTTGCAACAGGCCACCTACGGGCCCCTCAAAGAGTTGTTGCAAGGGTTCTTAACGTGCAAAGAACGTGGCACTCTCTTTACACGAGGCATCGGATTTTACGTCCCCTTTCTGACCGGACGTGACTGCGAACTTGAACATCCCGCACAGCCAAACGGACGCCCCACTTTAGCGAGGGTTTTGCCGCCGGTCGGAGGAAGACCAGTGGTGACCATATTTCTATTCCCCAGTCATCCTTGGGGGTCAAAGGCTCTACGAAGAACATCCTACAAGAAGACCTGACATAACTTCTGTTCGACTAACATCATTTTTTAATGCCACTTGATTGAACGATTCAAGGATTTTTGCATTTCCCCCATACCTATAACTACATTTTCTGACGGTTTGGGGTTGAACATTTATTGTAGCCTTCTGCGTGACTATTCACATCTACTCTGTGTATAGGCGTAAGCCGTGATACTTTGACATAAATGTAAAGATCATTGTTGTCGCTTAACGAAACAAGGAATTAAAAAATATGTTCTGAACTTATCTGCTATATTGGAAACTGAAAGTGGCACACCAAAATAAAAGTATCATCCCCGGGTATTGCGATATAGAGTCCCCGATATGGTGTTCCCGTATATCATCAGAACACAAGGAGTAGGAATGGGAAGGCTTGAGCGCTTGCAAACAATGCTTAACCCCACCACATTCTGTATGTGCTTGGGCAAAGTAAAAAGCATGCTATTCGGTGGTTGTCGTTGGTTGCTGTCTATCATATTTGTTTTTTCGTTAAATGAGACCGACCGTTTTCTCGTTTGAATAGTTAAAACGTTTTGTCATGCCGAGTCCTTTATAGCTTTCGATACGGTATGGGTTTTGCTCATGTTGAAGGCCGTAAGGTGACCTATAGTTGCTTACATCTAAGTCACTAGGTCTCTGGTGGATATTTGTCCGACTGACAATCACACCACAAGTTCTTATTTTATACAAAATTAGTATCGTCTGCATGTTTATATGTATTAATACAAATAGGCCATGAACATCGGGATACGTCATCTATTTGAATTTCTCTTGACTTTTCTAATTCATCAATTGTACTCGATTATTTTATTTAAAAAATTCTTAAAACACATTAACGAAGGACATTACGAGATTCATTAATAAATCGCACATTTTTAAAAGGAAATCTCGTGAGAGAAAAAGATTGCACTTAATAGCTTTTGTAATCAAACACTCGCAAACAATGCAAGTGCAAACGATTAAGCCAAGAAATCAGGTTTTAAACAGAAATTGTTCGATACACACAACATATACACCACTATTTCAGATTTCAAATTTTGTCCGTAATATTTATATGATTTAGGAAATTGAGTTACAGTAAAATCCACGCAAAGAACAAGAAGCGTGAAATTAACAACTTATATTGCATTACCAATCTAAAACTGCTTAAAGTTATTTCCCGCAATGATTGTACTGATGGGGAAAGTGACAAGCAAAAGAAATCTTGTAAATTATTTGTAACCGTCTTCTGCAAAAACCTTTGCCGCTGTAAAATTTGAGGGGGAAGGAGGGGGGGGGGGGAGGGGATAGGGGGATGTTTAGGTGGCAAGGGGACAATTAAAGCACCCTTTCTGTTCACTTTCAAAAAGTAGGCTACACCACTATACTTCTCTACTTTTCAACAAACATTATGAAAATCAGTTTCAGTCACCAATATGCAATATACTGCCATCATAGTTTATATTTCGATATCGACCGTCTGTCTGAATAATTACTGGGTATATTATGGAGATCTTTTCATTTGGTTGTAAAAAAACGTCCCCCCGTTAGAGAATCATCTGTAGTCATGGTTCAGAATAGAGGTAAAACAAATTATTACAATGCAACATGATAAATCACCTATAAAATTATTAAAATAATTTCAACTTTTCTTTTAAAAAAAATTTGACTTGCACATTTATATATCTATCTATCTATCTATCCATCTTTTCCAGTTTGATTTAAAAAGAGAAGTAACAAGGAAAATTTCAAGAAATAAAAATAAATATCAATATAGAAGGACGTTAGTTGTGTGCCCTCTAGACATCTTTTGTTTTTTTTGTTTTTTTATTGTGTTGTATGATTGCTGTCTCATTGATGCATCCCCATTTATTCTGTTACGATTCAAAGAAATGAAAATATCATAACGACATACTTTTGGTGATGGTAACATTAAGACAACATAAGAAACAATTTTAAAATTATTTAACAGTTCTCTAAAAGTTTTTATTTTACAATTGATAAAAATATATTAAAAAAAAAATGTCCACTTACCTTTATGGTCAGGTGCTTTGTTTCAATGCAAGCACAGATTAGTATGGAAACATCTTATAGGTAGTTTATATATCAGGAATCAAACCCACTCGGAGGGAAAATCAATGCAGCAGATCTAACAGAGCATTCCGCTACATCCGGTTTTGAGAAACGGTATTTATTTAAATATTTTCATTACATTAGCAAATAAAATCACTTAAATTGCATATTACAATAGTCATCGCGATTTCGTGTTAGAAAATAGATTTTAGAATTTTCTCACTGATTAATGAGGTTTTAAACAACATGTGCTAATTGTGGGTCGTTAAATGGCTCAAAAACTAATAAAATGTCAACATACATGTAAATAGGAATAATTTTCTAATGGAATCTTTTGTAATTGGCACTTCTATTGATTCCATAAGTAAATGATACATTTCATCTGATTTTAGCAATTTGTAAATGTTTTGACTACCTATAGATCGACAGGTGCCTGAATTGATTATGAGTAATTAAATTGAAACAAAACAATTCAAATCTAAGTTAGAGCGAAGTAATATTCTTTTTGAAAGTTGAAAGCAAGATGTTTGGAAATAAAAATTAACTAAAATCATTTATGAGAAATATGTAAAGTTGTATATGTATAGTTTGTTATATTTAATTTGAATTCCTTTCCCTTAATCTTGTTACTTTACTTTTAATTTCTCTACAAAATGCAAGAATTGAGAAAGAATAAAAAAAAATAGTCAATGAGACAGTGCTAATTTAGTCCTAATTTGCAAGATTAACATACTAGTTCATGAAAGCTTCCAATCGTGTATTTTGACAACTGTCGGACATACTACCAGTTTACTCTATCATGTTGCAATAATTTCAAAAGGTGCGATTTGGCTCAAGATGCGGTTATGTTTTTAGAAAAATATTGTTCTAGTATAAGTTACAAACGAGGATGACAATGCCCATTTTTTTTATACAAACGCGTGTTATTTTTTTATCTAAAGATTAGAATTTGATAGGAAATGGACTTCACTCTATAAAATAATCTTTCTTTCATTATCTAGTGTTGATAAAATACTCAATCGGCAGTGCATATCATGATATCTACAAATAAAGTAAATAAGAAAAACAGTATCACTTTAAATGAATACACCTTATCGCTAATCCCGCTTGACCCGAGAATCAGTCCCGCTCGAACTTTTGACGTCATACAACAATCACTTTTCCATTGTGGCGTCAGATATTTTCTATTATGACGTCAAAATTTTACGGGAACTTGTGTGATGTCCAGTAATGGCGGACAAATAGCGATAAGGTGTATATTTAAGAGAGGACAAAGTTTGTTGAAAACATTAAGTACTGAGAAAAAAAATGTGTTGCAATTGTACAGTTATCAATAATTAATAAAGTGATCTGTAAAAAAACTTAAAAAAAAAAAATAACTATACGTATTGATCCACAAACGAGGCTGTGTTTCTTGATTACGCCCAACGTTAAAAAATGAAAACAACACTACTGTGCTTAAACGGCTGTGGGTAACTTAAGTAACCCACAACCCAAGATGGCGCCGCCTGGCGTCGGTAAGAAACTTCTCTCCTATATAATAACAATATCATGATTACAAAACAACTTTTCAGTAATTAAAAAGTTGTATCAATCTTTTAGGGAAACTCCTAAACGTAAACGATGTTTAAATATTACAAAATAAACGATCACAGCACGATTTGCTAAAACACTTAGGATGTCCGTAACTTGAAAACAACTTGTCCGTAACTTTTTTCATTATACCAATAGGGATGTCCGTAACTTTAACATGCATAGAATGTATAATCAGAAATAAGGTAGATTTCTAGTATGATATAATTCTTTTGTGAATACCATGATTTCTGGTATTATACCCAGCTAATAAACTCGACTCTTTTTCTTTAAGTTACATACGTTATTATTCTCCCTGCCATTATATATCTAGGTAGTGACATAGATACAATACTAGTACTTTATCACTCAATCAACCTACACAATGGAACTTCAAAATTTAGCTTGAGGAAACGAGTTTTGGACGAAAAATTAGAACATGCAGCTTAGACATCTCACCACTTCCAATCTAATTAAAATAAGTTCTCCACACTTGCTCCTCATTTTCGTTCGGTTGTTTATATGTCGCGAGACATATAAACAACCGAACGAGAATGAGGAGCAAGTGCGGAGAAGTAATTTTAATTAGATTTCACCACTTCCCACGGCAGATATCACTTATTTCAGATAAAATTACTAATGTCTTTAAACCATGATATATTAACAGTGAACATATGAAAATCATCTTTAAGAGAATAAGTTCAGATGTCAATCCTGAGCGGAAATACATAGACGAAGCTGTTCAGACCGCTGAAGTCAATGAAACGTTCAGAAGATTTTAAATCTTAACTTAATTGCTGTAATAAACCGGGACATCTGTTCAACAATATAGCTTCCATTTACTCTTAGATGTTGGCATTTTTTTTCACAGTCCACAATGCATAACACTAGGTATAGTGAAGAGACGATACTTTTTGGGCTAACAATTCAGAAATTATTTAGAGGAAAGGGTATCAATTTTGCCCGCGGCTACAAAGACCAAGGACTTAACAGACTGTGAACAATCTATAAAGCCAGAAGAATGTAAGATAAAGTTCGGCGTACCCGTTTTATGTAAACACTCAGCAAGGTATACTTTGGATGCTGCTAACCAGGTTTACTGGATTTATCTATCTGATTCAATATAGTATCCGAAAATCTGAAATAATTAAAAAAAAAAAAATAAAAATAAACGGTAAATCCGTAAAACTCGGGTCTGATTTTTTAAAGCTATATTCTCTTTTCTCTTGCTTACTTTGACGCATATCGTTAAAGTATAAAACTAGGTAATACATAAGGGGTTTGATAGTGCTTATTGTCTTTTAGTTGTTGAAATCACCAATCTTACAATTTTGAAAACAAAAAGTTACCCACATTCGAAAACAAAGTTACGGATAGTCTGATTAGTTTTGACCAAAAAGTTACGGACATCTTATTATGCGATTTCTAAAGTTGGCCATGCGCTAAAGTGAACTCAAAATTAACAAATTTATGGTAATTCTAAGTGGTTTCTTTATTCAAGAATCCTATAAATATTTACATAGTGCATGAAAAACGTTGCAAAAAGTAGATTTTGTATCAAATATATATCAACGAGTTTAGAGACCGCCATCTTGGACTGTGAGTAACTTACCCACAGCTGTTTAAGCACAGTGAACACGTTATTAATTTCATGCGTCCTAAGCGCTTTTCTGAATTTACCTTCATCAGGAACGTTCAAAGCCGAATATTTGAAAGCCGAGGATGTATAAGAACCGAAACATATGAAAAGCTATATAACCAAAAAGTACTTAAAAAATAGCTAAATCCATCTAAGGTCAACTAAGATTGGGTTAGATATGACTGATAGATAATATAAATGTTTTTGAGTTTGAAAGAGATCAATCAAAGTCAGTTAAAGTCAACTGTGCCTTTAAGTTTAAATCTTTATTTAAGATATTAGAAATGACAATCCACCCACAATGTGAACGACCCAGTAGCAGTCATAAAAATTTAAGTACAAATTACACTTGATTTTAAAATACTTAATAAGGTTAAAACTTTCAAAAATGCATGTCATTGCTGTATTGTTAAATTTCATTAATTCTTAAGAATTATGCTACATTTCGGTCTCCAGATATTTCAACGTACTATTTAAATCCGACATTTTCCAGAACATGAATTAATTCTTTGTCAGCTTTATTTTCTTATATTAAGGATCATGAAAATGATATCTGAGAAATTTCTAGAATAACCATATATTATCCGCTAGAGACGAAACAAAGACATAAAACGTTTGGAACATCAAGACCAAATTGGTCTAACAGAACAGCCAAAATCGTCCATGTCTACTTTGCATCAGGAAGTTGTTATTTTAATACACAATTATTTAATTTATAAACTGAAAACTTATAGTAAAATGTATATATTCAGTCTCCAGACATTTCAATGTATCACTTTAATCCGACATTTTCCAAAATATCAATTAATTCTTTGTGACTTTAACCTATTAACAAAGTGGATAATGGAAATGATTCCTGACAAAATTTTGTCATGTTTGTCATCAGAACCAAATATATCTAACACAGGCTTAATGTTTGAGTTGAGTAGTTTACATCTATAAAAATCAAGAAATTAATAAAACAAAAAAAAACTTTGAAACCTGGATTTATATGACTCAAAGAACAAGTTTGAAACAAAAAAGACTGAAAATTTAGTGATCCATTGATGATATACGCTATGGGAAACGGAAGAAAGGCTCGATGAGCTCGTTTTTCTCGATTTTCTTAAGTTCGAACAAATAAAGAAACAAGAGGCTCATGATTGCCTGAAATCGCTCACCTGTAATTTCAGTTTCAGGCATTTGTTTGACACTCCATGACGTTAAAATACTAAATCCCTGGGATGTATTTCAGTTGATTTTAGTCTTTGATGCATGATTTTTTTATTATTAATTGTTTTTGGCTTTTAACTAGCTGTCAGTAACTGCGAGTACTCTCAAATCGTACTTTCTACTTTTTGTTCAGTGTATGTTCACTAGTGTTAATATGTCTTTTGATTGAGTTAAGTCATTTCAATTGATATTTCATAGTGTGTTTTTCTATGTTGTGATGTTACACTATTGTTTGGTACCATTAAAACGTTTAAACACGCTGCAATTGTTTGCACCTGTCCTAAGTCAGGAATCTGATGTTCAGTAGTTGTCGTTTGTTGATGTGGTTCATAAGTGTTTCTCGTGTCTCGTTTTTTATATAGATTAGACCGTTGGTTTTCCCGTTTGAACGGTTTTACACTTGTAATTTTTGGGGCCCTTTATAGCTTGCTGTTCGGTGTGAGCCAAGGCTCCGTGTTGAAGACCGTACTTTGACCTATAATGGTTTACTTTTATAAATTTTGACTTGGATGGAGAGTTGTCTCATTGGCACTCATACCACATCTTCTTATATCTATTTGACTTATTTGTAGATCTTACTATGCTGAACAATTTTGTCATTTACACTTTCTCTCTTTCTATAATAATATTAAAGATAAAACATAACCCAAAACTGTAAAATTTCCTAAAAACTAACTATTTCTGGACAGTAACACAACAACAAGTTGTCCTATTGGTCTGAAGATTACTTGACAGGTGGATCTAAACCTATTTAACACTTTCACCTA